GAGGAAGAGGAAGACGACGAATGCGAGCCCGAAGCTTTGCCGAGTTTTGCCGAAGCACACGCTGCATTGGCGAAAGTGAAGTCGTTCTTTTATGCGCTTAATATTAGTGAACGTGACAAAGAAAACATTTTGAACGTGGAAAGTGATCTGTTTCGTCTAAAACGTAAAGTTTCAACAAACCAGTTGTCCATTAAAGACTTTTTTGGTAGAAAGAAGTAACTTTGAAAGAGAAACATTGTTTTTTTTAAATTTTTAATGCTTTCCCGCATTCATCGTTTTTATTTCCCACCCCCGCCGAAAACGATGCATTGAGGTTTCACTGTAGTGTTCCTTGTGCGGAACTCAAAACTTGCAACATTGTAAGTAGACTTGGCTACATCTTTTGGCCTCTTTTAGGAGCTGCAAATATTGCTATTCCGTCTCTCTCATTGTCATCCACCATCTAAGAACTATACAAACACTTTGTATTCCAAAAGGGACAAAGGGAATCCAGGTGTTTGCGCTAGGAGGTCCCTCACTTACGTAGCCTTTAATCTTACATCCCCCTCCCCTGAGCATGGCTTTCACCATTAGTTTGTTCCCGTTTCAGCTTGCCTTGGGAACATCCAGATGATGACCTGAGAAACCCAGCCGCTTGTGGAGGTTCGTCATCTTCGGGGAATACCTCGCCAGTGGCACCCTCAGGAAATAAACAATTGGTCTAAGAGGCCTTAACCCAGTATCATCAGATGTTACCTCTCTCCAAGACCCAGGAATAATTTCCCCTGTACTGGCATCCCCATTATCAAAAGATCCTGGTGTGGAATAAAACCTTGCCGAATCAGGTTGCAATCGCAGATAATTGTGTAGATAAATACAACTCAACGCAATATCAACTACAGTGTTTTCAATTTTAATTTCTATTGGCTTACAAAAAATTTGAAACACAGAATTTCAAAATGTTCTCTTAATAGTTGACTGTGTTATATTGTTCACTCAAAACCAAATTCTACTACAGATTAAAATAACAGACAAGTTTTTGTGATAGCTAATAATCAAAATACTTCTTTTTATGAAGTTTGTGGTTTGTCTTATATTAGTATGCCATACTGTTTAACAAAAACTGAAGTGTTTCTTGGTACTGAAGCATTCATTTTTTTCATGGTGCTTTTTAAGGTTTTGAAATATTAGACGTTGCAGGTATGTTAGTAGCACATGTACATATGTTACTTGTCAGTTATTGTTGTGAAATGAAAACAATCTGCCCAGTTTATAAGTTTTGCTCACATCATAAGTATAAATCAATAAACGTTACCAATTACATCTCCTTTTCACGTTTATTTTTTTCAGTCTGTAACACCTCCTGGTACTGCGTGGTCCAATTTTTTGGGTCAGTCCCATAAACCTGTAATAAACACATTTCTTTCATCAGACACCCTTTTAACTACGTAGGATGGGTGGACGATTGCGAACCCGGAATTATAAAGAATGTGGAACTGATAATATTTTTCCAGAATTTATGTGGAGGAAAAACCACAAAGATTTCAGACAAAATAGCTGCTCTACGGGCTTACAATTGAACCTAGCAAAGACTCACCAAACTGACAAACTCAAGCAGTGAACGTCGAGATACCTCTTCTTCAGCTCGACGTCCCCATCGGAACTCAAACTTTGGAGGATCGAGCTCAGGTATACGAACATGTTCTAGATACATTTGACGTACAAATTCCTAATGAAATTAAATAATAATCAGTTATTAAAATGTCATTCAATGTTTTCACATTTGTCTTAATGCCAGTGTAATTTTTAAATTAATATTAATACTAAATTAAAACAAGAGATAAAATTTCAACTTACTGATGATGAAATATGTTTCAACCCTTGAAAGGTCATCCTCAAAGGTGGCATCTGTTAATTTATTATAATGCAAGCAACTCAGGGTTTAAAAAGGTGTCCATGATTTACAAAAATACACCATACACGCCACTCTAAAAATCATTATTCTACGACCTCTGCTCAAATATATTGGTATAATTAATCTCATGCTACAACATGGCTTGACAGAAACATCATTGAACATGAAAATAATCATCCAATGCAACATTTTTTTATTTAAGACAAAGTACGTTTACACACTGCTATACTGATATCAAAGTTCTCATTTATTTTAATTTTGTGATTCCACAATTATAAATAATGATTCAATTACATTACCAAATCTCTGAAATAAAAATGAGATTCAATTTTTGTATTTCATATGGCACATTACGGATGCCGCTGAAACTGAAATTTTAATTAAATATATTTTATGGATCTGGTGTTGTAACCAGTATCAATAGCATGAACCTTTAAAAGAAAACAAATGCATGTAACTCACCCCTGTTAACAATTTCCACACATCACCGAAGTACTCATGAGATCTGTTCTTACTCATAATACCAAGATTACTTAGGAAACTCAGCATATCCTCTGAAAAGTAACAATTTTTTACTGTACTAACGTGAATCAACAAATTATTCGAAACACATTTCTCACAGTTCTATATTACTGCCTGAAAGATTTCCTACACATATACTAATATCATGCATCCTGGTGAATTTTTCCATGAACCAATACATATGATTAGTGAGTCATTAATAAAACGTATGATGAAGATTTCTGTCTTCTGGGTTGTTGCACTGTGTAGTCTGGTCGATGTTTACCAGCAATGAATCGCCCTGATGACGGAGGCAGTATGACCTCTGAAACGTTGGTAAACATCGACCAGATTACATGGCGCAAGAACCCAGAAGACAGAAATCTTCATAGTCACCGCTGTGAAAACCTCAAATCTTACAAAACATATGATGTATTTGAAGGTTTTGCTTTCTTTTAACTTAAATACCACAACATGTTCCAACTTGATGTTTTTATCAGGCGGTTTTGTATTCGCTGTACGAGGATACCAATGAACGCATGCTTCAAATTACCATAACTGAACTGTCCTAGCCATATACAATATTCTCAATGAAAATGTGTTATCAAATAGCGACAAAATTCAAAACTGCAAACACCCGTGCTAAAATAATTTCACTGATATTTTCGAAAATTTTAACTGCCGTACTTTTTCTCATGGCTCTACACTCCTTGAATGACTGTGACCTCCTCAAACATGGGAAGTTTCTTAATTGTTAGACATTGGTAGGACTCCTTGGATGACAGAAAGACGCGGACAAACATCCATGCCTTCAGTGGGATTCGAACCCACGGTCCCAGTGGCCTGCGCTCCAGACTGAGTGGCCACTGTGACCAGAAACTGCCATAATACATGTATTATATTTCATGAAGGTAATCCCTTTTAAATGATTTTTCATGTTTTAAGCGTGGAAGCCATAAATGTTTAAAATGTTAAAAGAATATCTGTTGTTGTATTTGTTTATATAATTCATTATACAATTTAAACAGTCCACCTGAGACTTAAAGAAAGTCTTTGACATGCTTCGTTCTGACTGCATCATCCATTTTAAAAACATTTTTCTGATTATTGCAAAAAATTATATTTAAATTAAGACAAGTGAGTTAATTTTAATCACAATTATTGAAATTCATCAGAAGGCAAAACTTAATTATTGAAGTAAATGTACAAAACTGTCAATCTAAAGACTTTCAAGTAAGGAATTAATAAATACAATCTTCTTGGGCGATCAGCCGCACAAACCGGTTACCATAGTAAACCGACGTTTCGGGAACCAACTGTCCCCATCATCAGGGTTCTGATGGAGGCAGTGTGACCTCTGAAACATTGGTAAACATCTACCATACTACACAGCACAACAACCCAGAAGACAAATTGCTGAACAGCTCATTATGCAGTTTTCTCCATCCTTCTATTAATTCCTCTCTCTTACACTAGCATCAGACGAGTGTTTATATACCACCCGTTTACAGATGTGAAAATACATGACGGTGGCAACACGGACAAATTTTTCATGTCAATTTGCAATTTACCGTGTGAAAAATGCAGCACTGCAAATTCACAGTGCACCACAGACAGTACTGATTCGTGTGCAGATCCTTTTAAAGTTTTAAACATCTACGGCTTCCAAGCTTAAAATTTAAAAAATCACTTAAAAGGGATTGTCTTCAAGAAATATAACAGATGTTTTATGGCACCGGCAACTAAAATTTTGTATGGAAGGATTACCTAACGTGTGCAAACTTTCAGATAAAGTTACAACATTACAACATGACAACACACAGTTCCCTTGTCTGCATGAAGATGTGTATGAGAAAGTGATTATCAGAGCCAGAAAATTAACATTTGCTGCTTTGTCTGTGTATATTAAGGTCTATTTACATTCTTTATGAATTCTTATACCTTCACTCTCCACACCACCTTTCATGAAGATTAATGATAGAGTCAGCATGAGGAGCACTTGTTGAGACTCCACTTCCTTTGGCCATTTCATATAACGTGCATCTGTTGAAAACTTTTCATTGTTTATAAGCATATAGTGTTTCACATTTGAGTTCTGTTCAACTGCGACCAACTTCATCCCAAAAATCTGTAAAATTTGAACAAGGACAGGTGACAGGCTCTTGTGAAGATAGTAAACACCTAGATTCCAAAATTATGGGGAATTTCCTGACAAGAAGACTGTCTAACCTATGGAGAACACAGCCTCTTCTCCGTATTTGATGAAATATAAAACCACTATGGGATTAGAACCACACAACCAACCAACAAGCTAGGTAACACCATTCCTGCGTATGAAACGCATTGCTGCAAATGGTACACAGAACCTAATAACTAAAATGGGAAGTGCTTAAGCTAACAGGGTTCTGATGTGGCGGGAGCATCGACCATTCAAACTAGGATCTGCTGCCGATGATGTGATAGGAGGTTTATTCCGTCAGGCAACTTGCCCAAAAGAATTTGGTTGGTTGATTCTCTGGGGTTTGAAACCAGAGACTGTGGGGCCGCTTCGGCTGAAGGCCTCTGCGACTTCGATATGGGGATGGAGTACTAAAACACTAACTTAATGGGGCTGACAGCCAGATTTAACTGATAATATTACTTCTCCTTCTTCTTTCTTGGCATACAACCTAGTTGTGGGTCTTCACCACCTCCTTTTCGGAGGCTTTCCTAGTCTTTGAAGAGTGCATTTCTGAGTACTGAGTGACCAGCCCACTGCCTCTGCAAAATTTCTACTCAATCATAATTTGACTGCTAGAGCCATCTATTAGTGAATCAGAGGACACTTGGCAGAGAAATGGCCACTGAATTTTGCTTAAGAAACATCTCATTTCATGACTTAAATGTCAGCACATGCAAGTTCTATCCAGCTATTTATAGTCAATCACTAACTGAACTATTTCAAAAATGCTGTTTTCAATATAATTCACTCACTGAAATAAATAAAATACACTTTACCTCCTTGAGCACTCGTGTAGCTCCATCAATGATATATTTAGAGCTCCCTCCATAAGTTTTGAGAACATCTTTTACAATGTCCTGTCGCTTGATAGCATACTTGGTATTATCGTGAGACAGGATATATCGCACAGTATCATTGATCAAATTTTCTTCCTCTTGGCTTGACAGATGGCCCTCCTGAGCTGATTTGGAAGCCATTATTTCCTGAAAATAAAATGACCTGTATGGAGAAATATCTCTGAAAACCAACAGACTCGTTCCAAATGGCAAAAGATTTTATTATTTTAGTTTAATGGGTGCAAAACATGGTCTCCACTCTGAGGGTGGATCACAGATTGCAGGTGTTTGAGAATAGGGTGTTGAGGAGGATATTTGGGCCCAGGAGAGAAAACGATGGGATCTGGAGAAAACTACATAATGATGAACTTAAAAATTTATCCTCCCCCCCCAGTATTGTCACGGTGATTAAGTCAAGAAGAATGAGATGGGCGGTAAATGTAGCAAGCATGGATAAGGCAAGAGGTGTGCACCAGGTATTGGTTGGGAAGCCTGAGGGGAAGAGACAGCTGTCGAGACCTAGACGTAGATGGGAGGATAATGTCAGGCGGGATCTATGGGAGATAGGAGTTGAAGGAAACTGGATTTCGTTGGCCTAGGACAGGGTCCAGTGGAGGGCTTTAGTTAAGTCGGTGATGAACCTTCAGGTTCGGTGAGCCATCTAGTTAGTTTAGCTGCTCAAGACATTCCCTGTAGTAATAAAATCTCAAGGCTGATTAGTGTCACTAATAAGCATTACATAACAGTGTGTTACACTTTGGATAACTAAACAAAACTGTGGATGTAACATAGGTACGGAAGGTTCCCGTTATCCTAATCTTCATTATCTGTTTCCTTATATATATGAAGCCAAATCATTAAGGAAACATACATAAAATTTCCTTACAGTTCCAAGGATCACATCAATGTATCACAAATTTCCCAGCAGAAAACAGTTCCCATCTCAAAGGCATCCACTATTTTCTCCCAAGTATCAAGCTACTGCAACTTTTAAAACAAAAATGCAAGCTGGAATCCAGACAACTTTAGATTCGTTCTTCGCAAAACACAAATAAATCATGGTATAATTTTAAAGGCAAAAATTACTGATAACTTTAAGGTAGTGTTCTGTTAAGGATATTTATGAAACAAAGTGTATTTTAATATCATTGTATTATGGGCTGATGGAAAACTATTCCTTGTTAAACATGACATGGGTAGTACACTTTCTTCCCAGGTTACAGACTCATCTGTACCCTCAAATATTTAAAATTTGTCGGGCCTAACCTCGAAACTGCATAGCATTACCACGTCAGTAATTAAACATCATTTCACATAAATTTGTGGGCATTTTTGTGAATATCAATATGCCAAATTTTAATATCTAAATCAAATTGTTTTTGTTTTCGCAAAAAAATCTGAAGTTAGACACAAATTTCATAAATCTACCTACGTTACCTTCCTCTATTGTCGAAGCGCGCCAGAAAAAGGTCTTACTGCGCATGTGCATCCCAAACATGTTCATAGATTCAGTACTCTCGTGCGCAGTGCCATTTCTATGTTAAACAATTTAAAACCAACTTTCGCAAGCCAGAGACATTTATATTTGTATCGTTATAAACTGTCTTTCAATAAAAAATATTCCCATATAAGGAAATCTGTTATCAGTAGACACAACTCGTCATTCTCTTGGTAACGCGTGAGCTGTGCTAATTGACTTATCAGGGCAACCAATGAAGAGATTGCAATCGTAAAGCTCAACTATGCTGCAAAGTACTGAATATTTGCTGATATGCTGAATACAATTGTCTTTTTTACAATAGCAATAATTTATCTGCTGCAAGCAACATTATACTCGCAAGCTACACATTGAACAGATTGTCTAGCTTCTTGTGTTTTCTTCTAGGGTGTAGAGGTTATAAACTGAATCCTACTTAAACCATACACTCCCGGTACAATTACATTTTGTGAAAACACTGAATTTCATGTTAGTATTTTCATTATAATTTTTGTATATGTGGTCATCTGATTTCTTGTTTGAGGAATTACTAAGCTGTGTTTCTTTTGTAAGGAAAATGATTGGTGAATTGCTTTTAAATTGCTCTGAGATCAAATTTAGTAGTTGTCAGTCACTTTACAAAGTGTAATTATTGTGTAGAAGAAGTATGTGTTTTACAATCCTTGTAGTGTGTATGTTGTCTGTTGCTCATGATGGAACAGTACACAGAATATTGGCAATCTTCTCTGTGGGACCAATTAGAATTTTGTGAAGTGTACTATAACAAAGTGCAGTATATAATGTATATGTGATGTTTGTAAGATTATCTTCAACATGATAGAGTAAGTTGATGAGATTAGCAGGTGAATCCATTGGAACATTAGTCAGAAGTCTCATCAGTTTTGGCTCTGTGAGATTGGTTGATTCTTGGTTTACTTAAATACTTTTTATTTTAATTAAATTAGTTATGTAGCATTAAAAGGATCAGTGTGATGACGAATTGAGAAGTGTTCATGGTCTTTCTGTTCCAACAATGGTATGGAGGAACTGAAGAAAACAGCAAAAAATCTCAGCTGACCATAGGGCCAAGACCCAAAGTGAAGACCTGTCAAATGCAAATGGATGGCCTGGTCACTCAAAATATTTTTCAGATCAATGCACAGTTCTACATAACAATTTTAAACTGGGCTATGTGCATTTGAACTGCTGTCATTTACTTCTATTTTGGTGGATCATTTAAAAAAAATTGGATTGCTCCCTATTACCACAACAAAGCGTTCCTATTAAGTGTCTTTTCCCAGCACACACTTTAAAAAACAATTTCTTGCCGTTTGTTGTATAAAAGTGCCATGTTGTGACTTATGATGTACATCATGGACGATTAAATATGATGTGTATATTCAGTTGCCAAAATTTTCACAACTTGTGCCTTGGGATTTGGCCAACACTTTTGGACAGGTCATGTTCCGCTGCTGCGTCTCCTCTTGGTTACCGTCATCTCTATAGATTTTATTTTGTGAGTGAAGTTACTCCTCACTTCAGACACTGATGATACTGAGGACTAAAATTTTAAGTTGGAGGACAAATAAAAGATGAGAGCTTTAGTCCAGGAATTTGGGCTTTGGGTGCTGTAGCAGCCGTAGACTTTAAGGGCAGGGGGCTTGATATTGCCTCTGGCATGAAGATACATTCTGCTTCCGTTTATCATGGGTGGTGTAGTGTAGAACTCATCATAATTTCAGTGCTTATGACGTATGGATAACTTGCACATAGCTGGTAATGAATAAGGTACTTTACTGAGGAATTCTGTATTTGATCAATATATTGGAATTTATGTTCACAAACTTTATATATAAGTGGCAGCAGTAATCAAGGTGCTATAGTGTCAGGGTTTGACTGTACATAGTGGGCCTAATAAAATTCATTTTATTTATTTTTAAGGAACATCGAGCATGTTTATGAACATAAGCCATTTTGCTATAGTGAATATATCAGAGATGATGAGATGGGTGGGACATTTAGCACATGGAGGGAAATGAGAAATGCATACAACATTTGTGTTGGAAAACATAAAGGGATGAGACCACTAGAAAAACTTAGGCATAAGTGGGAGGATAATATTAAAATGAATGTTAGGTGGTGTGTGAGGGTATAGACTGTATTGAGCTGGCTCAGAATATGGTCTAATGGGAAGCTTTGTATTCTTTGGTCCTTGTCTGAAGGTCAAGTGCTTGAAGTGAGAGAAATTAAGAAGTGCCTTGTATCTAGTATCTGGCTCAGATAGCTTTAGTTACTGCTCAAAAAGAAATGGGTTATTGCCCAATGAATAAGGCAGTCTCTATTTTTCATCCCTTTTATCTTACATTACCAAATGAACCCTGTAATATTTTTTTGTTTCTGGATTTCAAGCAAAACTTGCAACCAGGCCTCAAGAATTTGTTTGTACGTTTTTCGGTAAATGATATGTACAGTCAGCGGAAGGAATTACACAGATTGAGGGTAAGATTTTACGTTCTTACGGCGGCAGATACAAAGATTGCTGTCTTCTGGGGTGTCGGGCCTTCACTGTATTCAATGGCGTGATCCGATGGGAAAATGTTTCCACAAATTTAGTATCAATTAAGTCCAGACCGAAATTGCATTGTTTGCCGAAATGTTGGTTAACATAAAACATTCAACACCCGCCGAGAAAACCTACGGTTAAGAATAGTTTTTATATCTGTGCACTGGATAGCGGAAAAGTTATCGCCGACTACAAAAGGACGCTCATAGCATTTTCCGCGTCTATACAGAAGTGTGAAGCAATAATAGTAGGATAGTTTCAAGGTAGTTTCCTATACAATCATGATGTGTGATGAACAATTTTCATAACTTAAGAACATTCTGGAGTCTGTTGGAACAAGAGTGCCAAAAATTATATTGCACAGAGCTGAAGAAATATTTCCATCTCTGAAGGGTACCACCGTGAGTATATAAAAACAAACATAACTAATAGTTATATAAAAAGGTCTCAAGTCGTTATGTTATAATGTGGTTGAAAATGATTCCCGTCTTGTGTTCATTATGTTATGGCTATGACCGCTACACAGTTTACAGTGTGGAACAATCCTTTATAAATGAAAGAAGGTGTGTATGTATCTATGGGGATGGAATGTGAGATGCTTGTGTAAGAGGCTATGTACGTTGGCATCAATACTGCAGTAAATTTCTTGTTTCATCAACACAAGGTTAATGAATTTTCTTGCCACACATAACATTACAGCAGTTTTTTATTTTCTGCAAATTTTTATGTGAAAAAGATTTGTCAGATACAATTTTATCCTGAATATACTCAGTATTAGCTTGAGGGCACCCCATATTCTATTTCAGAATATGGTATTGTAGATTCTCATCCAGTTTATACCTGCATTTAATGCATACCATCTCAAGGAATTATGTTTGACTCATAATTTTACAGCAGAATATTGATAAAATAAAGATAGAAAGTGATGTTGATGTTCTGAGTGAAGAATCCGTTGGCGTGAGAAATGATGAGGTTTACACACCCTCAACTTTTCCCATAGTAAAGGATGAATGGAAGGTAAGCCTCCTTTTAACCAAATTATTTATGGTTCTTATATGTTTGTGTGTATGTACAAATGTATCCATACATGCATTCATGCATGTTGTTTTAGGTGAAAGATTAACCTGATTCAGACAGTGATATGTGTCAGGATGGAAATCAGGTCATGAGTGTAAAAGCTGAGGATGTCTCAGATATAAAAATTGAGGAACATCCTATTCCAATAACAAATCAAGTTATGAAGGATGAACAGGAGGTAGGTCCATTAAAGTGTCGATTGTCCTCATGTGTGTCTGTCCATCCAAATGAAAAAACTTGCTTCTGGTGAATAAATTTTGAGATTGTATCTAAGTTATGAATGGTATCATAGAGAATCTTGAGACATTCGTAGATCCTGTTAATTATTCTACACAGGGACTCAGAGTACTGTGTTTGTCTTAGCAGTACTCTCAGGCTCTACCCCTTCCATCAGAAGTTAGGATATGGTACGCTTCACCCTTCAGCGTGGGAGCATTTAAATCCGAAGTCTATACTGTGCTGTGGGAGGATTTTCTGCTTGGGTATTTAATTTTGAGCTTGAAAGTGCATCATTTTACTTAATGGGCACAACTTCCCTAATAATTGATGAATTTAAGTGAAACTTTGAACAAAATGTTCACAACCCACTATGCTTCGGTCGTCTACAGTTCTATCAATGTCTTGAGGATACAAAAAACGTCTGCTACTCGAAGCCATAATCGCGGCTGACTGACGGCAGATATGTGCTACAGAAGTCCGTTCATACCAAGCTCGCTGGCATCATATACCGTTGCAAAGCTTGCAATGTGTCCTACACAGCTGTCGTAGCCGTAACTATATTACTTCATTCGTCTTCGATAGAGGGAGCCACAGAGCAGAGACTGAATGCAGTTGAGTTCAATAATCGATCTATATTTCAAAGTCGAAAAACACTGGTAAAATCGATCTGTCAGAGTCATGTTATATATCAATCGACAGCCAGCTTTTTTCTCTACACGGCTACTGGAGCCAGAATACATAAACCACAAGGTCAGTCGCTACGTAGAAGGAGAAATCTTAGCGCGCATTATGCGAGCAGTGCTCGGCACTCCACGCCATGGGATGATTACGTCATGACGAGCGATGTTCGGCACTCCATGCTGAAGGGTTAATTACCAGATTGTACTCACAGTAGAGCTTAGTTAGGATGGATGTAGTATGTATTCTCATTTGCCTTCTTCTCATCATAAGTGATATCACTGAAAGAATAAAATTTAAATCCACACTCTGAACAACTTTGTTCTTTTTGCGTCATTCATCTTGTCGTTAAGTTTGAAAGTTGTGTAACTGCAGCGCGACAGTCAGTAGGGGAGAGAGGGGCTTTGTGGTGTAAGAAGAGACTTCCCAAAAGTGAAGTGGAGTGAAATCTCCATTTGCAGTTTACATTCTTTCTGGGATTTTAGATTTATTGGTGGCACTGTAATTTCTGATAGTGACAGTGATAATTACATGGAATATTGTGCACTGTTTGATAGATTTACTAAATGTTTTGAACATGAAATTGGTAGAAATATGTTTTTATAAAAATTAAAATTTTTAAGAAGTGGTCACCTTGGTAGTTCAATTATAAAGTTTGGAAAGTGGTTTATTGGAACAGTCATTATTACTGTAGACTGTACATCACTTCATCTGAACAGTAAAT